CCCTCCGCCTCTCTCCATCCCGGTATGTAAATCCTCAAGCGGTCAAAAAATTGTGGTACTCCTGTAGGGGTCATTTCAGACAAGAAGTGGGGGGTCTTTTTCTTGGAACAGTGAAGTATGCGTATTTCCTCAAAGCTATTTCCTCACTGGTCAACTGGAGTATCACGATTTGAAGTAATTTGCGAGTCGATTTATCATGATTTGTCATACTTCAAGAAGTGAGATTTTACGTAGTTCATGATGGGACGCCTTAGGATTTGAGCATTACGCGGCACATCGTAATTACGTCAGTAAGGCTTTAATAAATCGTGAAATGTCTTCTCGGCGTATCACGATTTGAAGTACTTCACGATTTGATTTATCACGATTTGACGTACTTCTTGAATTGGCGTGTCACGATTTGACGTATTCATAATTCGGCGTATCGCGATTTGACGTACTTGACGATTTGATATATTACAATTTGACGTACTTCGCGATTTGATGTATCGTGATTTGACGTACTTCGTGACTTGACTTAATCCACAGCTCGTAGTATAACGATTTGACGCACTTCACGATTTGATTTATCACGATTTGACGTACTTCGCGACTTGGCGTATCACGATTTCTTGTCTTATTTCACAACTTGTAGTATTACGATTTGACATGCTATTTGTGTCACGAAAAACCCCATGAAAACTTGGCCAAGAAACGCTGATACTACAGTAGGTATCTTATCTTGAAAGGCTGATACACAGTAGATGTGCTGCCAGACTGAATTTCGAGCACAAGGATCGGTGGTGTAGTGGTAACACATTGCGTCTGGATGTGAAAAGGAGGTGGTTCGACTCCTTCCCGGTCCAGGGCAAAAATTTCCGAGAAAGGGCTCCGTTCACGACAACTTGTTCTTCCACTTTTACGATTACTTCACTCTTCAAATTCAGTTCCTCGCCGCTGCACTCACGCGTTTCTTGCATTTTCCCGCGAAAATTTGGCGCACCCACTTTTTATTTGTCCTCATTTATTACAGCTCGTTCTAACTAATTTGGCACCGTAATTATTGGTCATCGTCAAGATGTTCGATGGGCTTGGTGCGGTGATGTTCGGTATGCCAGCGGCACGTCCGTTCGATTTGCAGTTACGCTGCTTCTCGGCACCATTCTACGAGCGTGCCGATTCCAAGAAAATCAACGAACTCAATCATGGCGGAAAAGTGAGAATTTTATAAGTTTTTTTTCGCATGTTTCCCCTTTTAAAACCATTTCCTTCATCCATTTTCCCTTCCCACTCTTAATTCTTCTAATCCCACAGTCATTTCATTTCCGCTTCTGTTTCTTTCTGTCGTCTTTCTCTTTACCTTTTCCATTAAGCACTGCAACCGTCATACTGACGAGGTCCTGTTGCGTGGTGTTGAGTTAAGACGTATATGACTTAATGGACTGAAACGTTGTATCTCTAAGAAGTGTATGACTTAATGGACAGTTTTAGTTTCTTTTTTATGCGTTTTGTGCTGTGTAACAGCATTACAAAACGCATATTGTCACGGGGTTGTCTGCGTGTGTGTTTGTGTGTGTGTGTGTGTGTGTGTGTCCCACATTTTGTCCCGCACTTTCAACTTGGGAACCACAAAAGCTAGGCGGCTGAAATTTTGGTATAGTGTTCCCCGCCAGCGGGTGACGCGGCAAATTTAAATTCGGCCTTCCCGTACCCACGGGTAATATGTATGGCCCCGTAAAAGTTTTTCGGATAAAATCAGTATTTTGGGAACCACGGAGTCTGGGAAGCTGAAATTTTAGGGTAATGATCCCCTGCCCACGC